AAACACATTAAATACATAGAACAGTAACATAAAAATATTATGAGAATAAAACTTGGCAAGATAATAAAACAAAGTTTAGTTAGGTTACAAATTACAGAAGGTCATGACCAATGTAGCTTATACCTAATTCCACAAGCAATTTGATATGGGGTAGTTTTCCAGGATTCTGCATCGATCTGTTTACCATCAGGCAACGTGACTTTAATTGGCCTGCTATCTTTTTCTGCCTTTTCTGCTAGAATGGAATCATGTTCTGCTTTTAGTATATTATACATCTCAAGACGTGTGTAAATATATTCAGGCCAAGGATTCAACTGCAAGACAAAAAATGAGGAAAGAATCAGTAAATACTTGCTTTCCTTTTTAGAAAAGGGAAAGAAATAATTAAAATAGATGATACACAAATCCACTATTACTTGGACATGTTAAATGGGTTGCCAAAATCAGCAGGCACTACTTCAATCTGGTCCTCAACGAAGGTTTAAAAAAAGGAATTAAATGCCCTCTTCTTATAATTTTTATTTTAAGAAATTTTTTAAAAAATAGAAAAGTATAAATAACATAATAAATACCTGGGCTGCCACAATGCTGAATTGACAATTACCATTTTGCTATTATTTATACCAAGTGGTTTTATTTTTCCTTTAAGATGCCCTCTTCGCATCTTTTCTGACTAAATGATCTTACAAATAGAGCTATAAATACTCCATTTTGTTTCAATTTTCTTCAGATGATGGTCTGGTCAGCCTATTATCTCTACTCACAACTACAAATTCATTTGACTTATGGACTCTCATTCAAGTAAAGCATTTGCTGAATTCAAAAAAGCCACAATCACCTTTTTTCTTGGAGTATTTCATTAGCAAATAAACAAAATAGCACCATACTTCTTTTATAGTAGATGAAATGAACCAAAACATTTTGTATAAAACACCCACTCAGGTTCCCAAAAGTTTGGAACAGAAAGAAAAAAAGAGACAACAACCAAAGATCTGTCTTCCTCTACTGTCAGAGACTCTATAAAACATTTAAAAAGCAGTTAGTGAATCTGTGGTCACAAAATAAACTACTAACTTCTATAGCACTTACAATCTTCAAATAACATGAATATTAATAGTGCGAAAAGGAGATGGCTTAATTTTACCATAAACTTTTCTATCTTCATATAGATTTAAATCAATCAGCCATAAAGTGATTTATTCAACTGCTTTAACCCTTGTTTAATATTTTTTCCTTTTTTTTCTTTTTTTTTTTTAAAGAGACGCCCTCACTGTCACCCAGGTTGGAGTGCAGTGGTCCGATCATACCTCACTCCAGCCTTGAACATTGAGCTCTTGGGCTTAAGCGATGCTCTTACCTCAGCCTCCCAAAGTGCTAGGATTATGGGTGTGAGCCACCACGCTTGGCCGCCAACACTTGTTCAACTTTGATGATGCTACCTACAATTCTATATATATTAACATAACACACTTAATCTGAAAGGAGTGCAAACTAGTATCTAATCCTGAGAAACTGACTTGAGATAATAGAAAACAAAAATCAACCATACTATATAGATTCACTTCCTGGCCAGCTTAGGAATGGTGGTTTCTGATGGTTATGGGTCATGATTACCCACATATTTCCCTAAATATCATAACAACAACAACAAAAAGAATAGCTACAACATTAAAAAAGTACATATTTGTATTTTCAACTTGTTCATACACTTCCTTTTTTTAAATTTTATTTATTTTTTAATTTTCGTTTTTAGAGATAGGGTCTTAATATGCTGTCCAGGCTGGCCTTGAACTCCTGGGTTCAAATGATCCTCCCACCTCAGCCTCCCAAATACCTGGGCCTACAGACATGAGCCACTGTGCTTGACCAAATAAAACTTCTTAGAAAACAGTAAATTTCCAATGCAAAGTAGTTCTTTTGTTTTTTTTCCTCCCTATACAAAATTTCCTTCCCATTTCAATCATGTCTTTTGAAATGGAAGTCCCTAATATCTTTACAAATTTCTTCCTACAGAAGTCCTTCCCTTTCTTTAGTCATTTATTTGCTCTTTGGGGACTTTTCATCAAAATTTCACAGGGTTCCATAACCCTCAATGGTGAGGAACCAATGAATTAACTAAAAGCTCAGAGCCTGTCACTCTACAGTCAGAATGTGAACACCTCAGCCCAAAGCACATTACCTGGTCCTATCCATTCTAAAGCACCAGTACAGTCCTACCCACCTGCATAATCCTCTATATCCTACTGCAGTTTATCATCATAGCCACTTGGCACTTCCTACTCAGAAGAATTTAGTGTCAAAATTTATTCAATATTCATTAAGCAGATATTCTGTGTCTGGCTCTGAGATTACAGAGATGAATAAGATCTGCACATTGCCCTTGGAGGGGAATAAGACGGGTAGATCAATGATGGGAGCACAGAGGAGGAGGCAAGGTCTGGGACATTTCACCGTACTCTTTTTTCCCAGACTGATCATTAAACACACATAATTACATGTCCCACTTAAAATTCTCTGTCCAGAAAAGTCCTCTTATTGCATTCTTTGTTTCCCATTTCCAGGCTAATTCTCAAACTGTGAGAGAACATCATGTACGATTACATTGAAAGTATACAGAAAAATTAGGGAACACATGCATTTTTCCATTTACTTGCAAATTAAAAAATTCACAATCAACAATTTCCCTCACAATTATAGTGTGGTAAAATGGGCAAAAGACTGACCACACATACGAGACCTGGTTAGGCAGGGTTCCAAGCAACACTACACTTGATCATCTTTAAACTTACCCTAAGTAAATGGAAACACCAAAAATTTAGTAACTGTAGCATTCATAAAAATGGCTCTTTAAAGTCAGTTTATTCTGCTACTTCTAAAAAGCCTATTCCTTTGTGACTTTTCCTTCTGGTAGTTTTCTAAAGAGTCTCCAATAAAATAGCTGCAATGACTAAAGCAAACAGTGAAGCACAGTTTATAGCAGGTCAACTTCAAAAATAAAGCAGAAAGACAAGCTTAACTACCTCCTAGAGCAAAACACCCAGGAAGTTGATTCTGGGCTGGCTTTTGATGTCTCAGTTCCTTCCAGTGTCAGCCCAGGGAACTGAAAGCATTTTCTTTAGACTTCAGAGGCCCTAAGGGGATTTGTCCTGGCTTAAAACCAAATCCCAGAGGCAGGTCCTGAGGAAACAGTGAGGAGGAGTTCGAGGAACTGAGCTTTCTTTGGTTTCTGTTGTATTCAGACACTCAAAACACCCAGTCTCTATTCCCTAACATCTCATTTAATGAAATGATCAGAGAGTAGGCATCCAATCTGACAACTGAATAATTACCACAGTTCCCTTCTCTCCAACTTCTGTTCTTTGATTTTTATATCCAACCCCACAATCAGATCATCTTGCAATCATACTCCAGCTGCTTTCTTTTGCAATAACAAATAACTGCAAATCTTTTTTTCCCTCTCAGACTACCCTTTCCTAATTCTTCCTGATTTTTCCATCTGGCACCATCTTATAAACCCACGTACACCATTAGAATCCTTACACATAGGGTAGTCTGAGACAATTTCCTGTCACTGGCCATCCTTTATGCCAGAGCCCTCTAAGATGATAACCTTTACCTCTGCTCGACCTCCATCTCCAGATCCTTCTTTGCTTTTCTTCTTGCTTCCTTCCTTTCGCTTCTCCTCACCAGCATTGACCTAAATAAACAAAAAAGAAATGAAGGTTTTATATTTTAATATTATTTGACACCATTCTAGCATGATGCCCCCAGAATAGTTTTGAAGATGTTATTCTAGCATCTGTTCATCCATGTGACCGAAAACCAATTGTACCCCCTAAATCTATTGAAATTTAAAAAAAAAAAAAAAAAAAAAAAAAAAAAGGAAATCTGATTTTGAAAGATTTGAAAATTCCACCACTGGCAAAGACAAGTTAACAAATAACAATAAAAACAAATCCTCAAAAAGTAGAGAGAAGTTATTGACACTGTTCAAATCCTCAGTTTTCATTTATTTTATTTTAACTATTCCCATGACTCTTGCTTCAGGTTTACTTGGATCATATAATAAATATATGGCCATAAAGAAGCATGCAACTTATTCACTAAGAGTATTGCCAGAAAAAAAAAAAAACTGAACACAATATTTATCTATCCATTCTACAAGTATTTCCAAAGTTTATGTGCTCATAGTATTTTGTTAAACCCTGTGGAAGAAGCAAACATAAGACCCAATCCCCATGCAAACTTAGTCTCTCCAGGAAAACTAAGGGCATATATGTGTGAGAAACTCCTGGAGGACAAAAGGCAACAATAGCAGCCCTATGATTAAATGTCAAAAAAGCTAAGACCACAGAAAGTGTTAGGGCTTTAAAGGACTTTAAAGGATGGAAAGGATTTCAATTGGCTGGATTTTGAGAATGAAGGAAATGTATAGATAAGCTTGTTGTCAGAAACGCTAAAATTTAAAAAGAGAGAAAGCAAATTACTAAACCAAGCTGACTAAAGTAAAAGGATTGTTTTAAAAGGAAGCAATGCAAGTTAAGACAGACTAGGTCTCAGACAGAAAAAAAGCACTCAAAGTTACCATAAGGAATGTGGATTTCAATTAGAAGCAAGTGATGTCATTAAAAGTTTTAAAGTAGTAAGTCCTATGTTGGGGATCTGAAGGGGGGATTTATTTATAATAGTTTTGTATGTTTGTGATCTTTGATTTTTTAAAACATTCTTAGTAAGACATAATTTTATATACCATATGATTTACCCATATAAAGTACACAATCCAATGGTTTTCAGTGTATATCACAATTGTGTAACTATCACTGCAATTTTAGGGCATTTTCATCACCCTCCAAAGAGAAACCTGGTACCCATTAGCAGTACTCTGTCTTCCCCTCATCCCTGAGACCTTGGCAACCACTACTCTGGTTTCTGTCTCTTTGGATTTGCCTATTCTGGGCATTTCATATAAATGGAATCATACACTATGTGGTCTTTTGTGATTGTCTTCTTTCACTTAGCATAATCATTTTAAGATCATCATGTGGTAACACGTATCAGTACTACATTTCTTTCTTTAGCCAAATAATATTCCATCGATTATTTATCCATTTATCAGTTGATGGACATTTTGATCATTGTCTTTTAAATCTTATAAAACATGTTACCTGTATAATTTAAAAAAATAAACTAAATTTAAAAATACGACTTCTAATTTTATGCTAAGCTAAAACTTCCCCCACTCCAGGAGTCTGGATTTAATCAACTTTTAAGGTTCATTTATAATCAACAGATGAATAATGAACATAACTTAGGTCCATTCTAATCAAATGAAGAACTAACCAACAGAGTTATGGGATTCCCTACATGCCTTTGTTATACTGTAGAATTGGTGTAACTAGTCAAGAGTACCCAGTAAGAAGGATAAAAATTAATTGCAGGTCTGTCTTTGCAGGTTTAAAACAGAAAGAGAATGAAGTTTACATTTCTGATAACACATTTTTGGTTTTGATGGTATGATATTTGCCAAATGAAGAGTAGTAGTGAAGAAGAGGGAGAATTAACAAACGGGTTTTCTGTATTCTAAATATATTTCCATTTTACAAATGAGAATACTGGCTCAAAGAAGGTAAGTAACTTGCCCATGCATATATAGCTAGTAAGTAGTAGAGCTGGGACATTAAAATAGGTCTCTCTGGAACCCTGAGGCCTACTATCTCTTTACTGTAACAATTGAGAAGAGAGTGGGCAACTGTTCTCTGTTTCTGAGTTTATGTTACATATTTATGTAAAAGCAATTTAAAATTACTGTTCTCGGGGATGTTTAAGAGTTGACAGAAAAGTATACACAGAGTGTAAGTTAATTCAATCTGAGACTGACAGCTGAGATAAGTATGTCCTGCAATTCCAATAGCCTGACTTACTCAGGCTAGCACCAGGGTTATGAGTACTGGCTACAGAATACATAGTTTCAGCAAGTTACTTACCATTGCTAGGCCTGTTACCTCATCTATACAATGGGAATAATAAAAAAACCCAGTTCATAGAATTATTATGAGGACTAAGTTAATGCAAGTAATGTATTAATACAGTTTTCAGACCCATATTAGCACTCAGTAAATATTAACTATTGTGTAATTATTATTACAAGAAGGAGAAATCATATATTCATTAGCCACACATCACTTTTAACAAAGAATCATAGCACAATATTTATGGACATGGAAAGTTGTTGATCATAGCCTATCAAGCAAAAAAAAAAAAAAAGTAAATAATACTATTTTTACTTGAAAAAAAAATGGAAAAAAAGTCTATGTATAGATAACATTTATCATCTTAAGTTAAATTTACATAGTTTAGAATGTGCGCCATTTATCGTCTTAAGTTGAATTTACAAAGCTTAGAATGTGCACAGATACAATTCACCCTGCTGTGCCTTTTCACTGTCTTCCCTACATTTATCCTGGGGTCCCTGCCCTGACTGGTTTACTCATTCTGGTGAACTCCTTCTTCCAAACTCAATTCGAGAGCACTTTCAAGCAGAGTTAGGTGCTTCCTCTTCTGTAATCCCACACGGTTGATCACACAGCATTATGACTGTTTTCCTGTCTCTTACAGACTAGGTTGTGAGCTCCTCAAAGTCAGGGGCTGAGTCCTATGCATCCTCCTACCCGCATGGCTCAGCTCAGTGCTGGGCAGAACGAATACTCAAAACGTGACAGCGTGAAAGTGACCTGGGATGTTCCTAAGCACGGATGACACCAAAGAGAAAGTTCAAAGGTGAAATGATTAGCATGTATGACTGCCATAAGGCGCACCCCAGCAAGGGAAAGGGTGTAACTTCTCTGGAGTTTGTCAGATGGGGTCATCAGGCCTCCACCACTTATGTATAAACCACCCAAACTTGGGCAAGTTGGATCAGATCTAGGAGTTTCCAGTTTTCCCTTCCTTAAACTGGAGCTCTTTAACCCCCCAGGGTCTCAGGATGGATTAGGTGAATAAAGCTCTGCAATGATCTCCCCCACCTGAAGTGGGCCCAAAACACAAGTCTGGAAGTCCCAACCCTAAGATCCTGATTCTGTCTCAGCTTCTAACGGGTGGCTCTGAGCAAGTCATTCATTCACGGTCTCATTTTCCTCATCTGCAAAAAGGCGACAGACCCAAAGATGAACTGCAAGGCCCCATCCTACTTTATGAATGGGCGATTTCTGCCCCAAGGGGGCTCTGACTTGTACGGGAGCTCCACCGGCCGCCCGGGTTGCCCCGCCTCACGCGGCCCCGACCTCATGCTTCCCGCCCCGTCGCGCAGCGCCGGCACCCAGGAGAGCCCAGGCCGGCCTCCGGGCCCCACCAGGTCAGCTCACCGGCTTCTCCACGTCTTCCATCTTCCCTCAAAGACTGCTGGCCTTCTCCTCAAAGATTGGCTAACCCCGAAAAGAAGACAGAAGCCGAAAGCAACGGCCTGGTAAGAGCAAAGAAGCCAGTCACAGGGAGTCTAGGGCGCCCAGGAATGGTGCGCGCGCGCCTGCTGTCCCTGAATGGACCAGCTGATGCAATCTGATGGCGTCCAAACCCCGCCCCTAAGCTGCTGGCGGAACGGGCAGCCAATTGATAGTGGGGAAGGCGGGCCCTTCTTTCTCTAAACCAATGGGAAAGTTTGTTGGGTGACGTAGCTCTTCTAGGAAATCAGGGCGCGGCGGGTGAGGGAAGGCAACTACAGACCCTAAACCCGTACTCTACGCCTGAGGTGACTGGACCGTTCCCAGAGCGAGAAGTCCGCAATGCGCGTGCGCTTTTCTTCCCGGCTGACTTGACGCCGCATAGTCAAGGACCTTTCCAGCCACCGTAGAAAATGAGCGTTTTGGTCTAAGCTTCCGGGAAGTCTTCGGCGAGCTGGATACGTCCCTGGCACTAGGAAGAGTCCCGGTTTCTCGCGGCTTTGGCGCCGCCTGACCTGGCCTGATTGTGGAGTTCCGGGCACTCCCCAGGTCCCACGCCCCCGTTCTGTAGCGATGGATCGAGCCCTATGGCAATCCAGGATTCCTAAGACCCAAGCCCTGGTGATCGAGGACGAGCGTTTCCTCGAACATTCTTCGGTACCTGCCACCGCCAATCTATAATGTATTAAGGAGCATTTCCATAGGGTCCCCGAAAATACAATAAAATTTTTATTTTAAAATTAGGGAAATAACCACGATGACTCCCTGGGTTCTCACGCATAGGGGTCAATGTTTGGAATCGAATGGGCCTTTTTCATGTATTTTACTAGCCAACTGGTAATTAATGAGTGTTGAGATAAAACTTGCTTGAAAAAGTACCCCCTTAAAAGAAAGAAGTCAATACCTTTTTACTAACTAGATCTAGAAGAAGGTTTATAATAGGAGTAGATTAATAGTAGCACTTAGTGAATGTTCTCTGGAAAGTTTCAGGAGTTATATACAATTTAATAGGCTTAAGTAGACCAATCTGGTCTCCCACATTTAAATTAGACTGAGGATTAATAGGGTCTAGTCTTCTAATGTAGAACAATTTAATTATGCTCATTAGACATCTTTGCATGAATTGTATCTTAATTTTAAATAAGGATAATGAGGACCAGAGAGATCAAGATTACTAAATTTGCTAGAGGCAGAACAATATAGGCTAACAATGAAAGATTGTTCTAACTGCTATGCAACATGGTTTCTAGCAGCTTCTCTCTTTTTTTTTTTTTACAATTTCTTAAACATTTATGTTAGTAAGATACACCCGTACAAATATAACATATAGAAGGTTTAGCATGATTTCTTACGTGACAATGCTTCGCATGTGATTTAATGTATCAAATAAATATAATTAGTTTAACCTCTCTCTTTTACAAGATGAGAAAATAAATCCTTTGATATTTCCCAGGGGCACTCTGGGAAATCTTAAGTTAATTCTAGGTTAAAAAGACTTCATTTAGAATTTGACTTGGGGAGATTTATCAAAAATGTCAAAAGGTTTGAACACTTGATTAAATAGGACTGTTGATCATTATGAGACCATACTTAGTTATCTATCAACTAAAGTGACAATAAAAGATTTTAAAGACAAATACAGAAAGTTGCATAGCTGTGAACAAAACTTAAGCTATTTTTTAAAATTTCAGAGTATCACGGGCATACAAACGTTTTGGTTAAATTGCTTTTGTACCGTTTGAGTCAAAGTTATGAGTGTGCCCATCCCCCAGATAGTGTGCATGCACTTGTTAGGTGTGAATTTACCCATCCCCCCCCCCCCCCCCCGGTTTGATTTCCGATGCAGCTTCTCTTCACCCCTTGTTCTCTTTCAAGCTTATCTAAGGACAGCAAAAAAGAAAAAACAGAAGGCTTTTCCAAGAGGTTGACTGATGTAGGAACATAGGAAAAGCTGTTATGAGTGGCTAGTGTGGGACCCTCTCAGAGAGGGATCCCAATGGCATAGTGCCCTCTGGTGTGAGGAAGGCGTTCTTTCATCTTCTGTGCATTTAGAGCTAAACAAAAAGATCCTGGGAGCCCCCAGTGGATCTCAGATCTGGAGCACAACCCACTGTTACAAAATTTTTGTCTATTCACCAACAAAAAACCTGTTGATTGATTCTTAGTGTTATAATTTATGCCCACTACCCTACATACTTTATAGGACAGTGGCTCTCAACAGCTGTCTTGAGAAGTGGACCAAAATCATCTGTGGGATATGCCACAAATAATGTTACAAATAATAGAAGATTGTACATAATCGACTTTAAAAAATATGAATTAGAGAAGATTCAGAATTATTCCTATGATAACCTGTAATAACTCTCTGTGAATTTGAGTCCTGACTTAGAAGTGAGTTATTCCAATTTGTTTAGAGACCTTGCTTCCTATACAACAGTATTTATATATTATACAAATAATATTGTATTTGTAACAAGATTTCAGTGGGTCTTAGATATTGTTCTTATGTAATAATGTCTAACATATTCCTTTTTCTACTACCTTTTTGAAGGATATCCTGCTTCTCTATTAGCTTTTAAAATTACTTTGTTTTACATCTATCTAGCCTTTCCTTAAAGATATTTTTCTTCTCTTGCCTCTGATGTTTATGAAAAACATTAAAAATTTTTTCTTAAGGCCACCTCTCTCTTCCTCCAGCTTGTGTTTCATGTATCCCTAAAAGTTCATGTTTTGGAAACTTAATCTGCAATGCCACAGTGCTGGGAGGTGGGGCCTAATAAAAGGTGATTAGCCCTCATGAATGGATGAATATCATTATTAGGGGAGTTGGTTAGTTATCATGAGAATGGGCAAGTATAAAAGCAAATTTGGGGCCCTCTTGCTCTTTTACTCTCTCAAGCTCTCTTGTCCTTCTGCTTTTTGCCATGGAATGATGCAGCAAGAAAGACCTCACCAGATGCAGGCTCCTTGACTTTGGGCTTCCCAGTCTCCAGAACTTAAGAAATAAGTTTATTTACTTTATAAATTACCCAGTCTGTGGTATTCTGTTATAGCAACATAAAATGGACTAAGATATAAAATTGGTACTGAGAAGTGGAGCTGTTGCTGTAACAAGTACCTGCAAATGTGGAAGCAGCTTTGGAAGTGAGCTGAAAGAATTTGGAGAAGCAGGCTAGAGAAAGCCTAGATTGCTGTAAATGAAGTGTTAAGGGGGATTTGATGAGGGCTCAGAAGAAGAGTGTAGAGAAAGTCTAAAACTTCTTAACAATTACTTAAGTTGTCATAATTGGAATACTGATAGAAATATGGACAGTAAAGGCCATTTTGTTGAGGGCTCAGATGGAAATAAGGAACAAAGTGTTAGAAACTGGAGTAAAGGCCATTCTTTTTATATGGTTACAAAGAACTGGCTGAATTGTGTTCATACCTGAGGGCTTTATGGAAAGTGGAATTTAAGAGCAATGAACTGAGATATATGGTGGAAGAAATTTCTAAGCAAAATACTGAAGGAACAATCTGGATACTTTCAACTACATACACTAAGATGCAAGAGAAAAGAAATAACTTAAAGACAGAACTTATAATTAAAGGAGAAGCAGAATGGAAAGATTTTGAAACATTTCAGCCTAGCCATGTAAAGAATGAAAAAGAGTGTTTGGTCAAGCAATGGTTTGCTAAGGAGATTAGTACTGATAGAAGGGACCATCAAGTCCATGGAACATTGACCCTGAAGGGATTTCAGAGATTGTGCAGGCTTCCCCTTTTATTACAGGGCCATAGATCTGAGGGCAGAATGGTTTTAGGAGTTGGGTCCTGGGGCATCTTCCAGGGCTTGTTACCCAGAGCCACCTCAGGTCTCTGCTTCCCACATTCTGGTGAAGCACTTTCCAGCTGTCCCAGATGTGACCCAAGTGGGCCTAGGTGTGTCATAGACATCCTGGGGGCCCAGGCAGAGACTTGTTGCAGAGGTAGAGCCACTACAGAGAGCCCCTACTAGGTCATTGCCTAGTAGAGCCATGGGAGAGGGGCCACTCCTGAGACCCTAGAACTGTAGAGTTACTAGCCTGTAGCATCAGTCTGGGCGAGATGCAGGCATGGAACTCCAACGTGTAAGGGCTACAGGGTGCACTGAACCCAGCAAAACCATGGGAGTGAAGCTGCCTGAGGCCCTGGGGGCCCAAATGCCACCCAGTGTGCTGATAATGTGGGACATGGAGTCATAAATCATGATACAAAGGAGGTTATTCTGGAGCTTTAAGATTTAATGCTGTTTTCCCTGTTGGATTTTCAACTTACTTGGAACCAGATACCCCTTTCTTATTGCCTATTTCTCCCCTTTGGGATGGGAGTGTCTGTCCTATGCCTGTCCCACCGTTGTATTTTAGAAGCACGCAGTTTGCTAATTTCACAGGTTCACAGCTGGAGAGGAATTTGCCTCAGGATGAATCATGCCTTGTGTTTCACCCACATCTGATTTAGATGAGACTCTGTACTCAAAATCCCAGACTTTTGAGATGATGCTTGAACAAATTAAGACTATAGGGACTATTGGGATGAAATAAATATATTTTGCATGTGAAAAGGACCTGAAGTTTAGGGGCCAGGGTGGAATGCTATGGTTTGAATGTGTCCCTTAAAATCCATGTGTTGGGAATTTAATCCCCAATGCCACAGTGTTGGGAGGTGGGGTGTATAAAAGGTGATTAGATCATTAGGGCTCTTCCCTCGTGAATGGATTAATGTCAGTATCATGGGAATAGGCTAGTTATTGTGAGAGTGGGCATGTTATAAAAACAAATTCAGCCCCCTCTTGCTCTTTTGCTTTCTTGTGCTCTCTTACCCTTCCACCTTCCACTATGGGATGATGTGGCAGGAAGGCCCTGACCAGATGTGGTCCTCCCCTGATCTTGGACTTCTTAGCACCTAGAACTGTAAGAAATGATTTTTTAAAAAAATGAATTCTCCAGTCTGTGGTATTCTGTTATAGCAACACAAAACAGAATAAGACAGACTTAAAATGGGCTTTGAATTGCCTATCATAATAGCAATATGTCCTGAATAGCTTTTTGGA